ACGTAGGTATAGAGGCTGTTGCTGTAGGTGCTAGTGAGTCTGCTCTCTCAGGTACTGGTGAGTCTGCTCTCTCAGGTACTATGTCTGCTGCGGCCCTGCACACCTTCATGCTTGACTCAGGTGCTTCCCACTGTTTCTTTCGCGACAGTACCACAGTCACACCGCTCTGCACTTGTTGCTCTCTTTGGCTGACCCCTCTGGGGGCCCAGTCCTTGCACGTTCCTCCACTGTTCTGCCTTGTCCGGCGGTTCCAACTGGCTCACTGTCAGGTCTCCACCTCCCCTCGTTCTCTACGAACTTGTCGAGCACCACTGTCCATCAGGATCAGTGGGTTGACACCTTCACCCCTGGAGGACAGCGTGTGGCAATCTGTACGTGCTCCCGGACTGGCAGGCACCTGGCCACGTTCACCCGTCGGCCTGGGTCGAGTCTGTACACACTGACTACTCCGCCTCCTCAGGTAGCTACGTCTACGTCTGCGTTAGGTCAGCTAGCAGCCCCCTGCTCGCGTCGCGCCCTGTCGTTGAGATGAAAGTTGATCCGATGCTTTAAATTCCAACTTTTTGAGCTGAAATTCTCGGGGCCGTCGATGTTTGAAACGATCTGACGGTTGAAATTCCAACTTTTTCGCCACTGAACCTGGGTAGTGTTTGAAAACCGGTTACATACCCCGAAAAAATGTGCGGAACTAGTTTACATACCCCGAAATTGGCGCTTTCGTCGTCGCCCCCGTGGTTTTAAAAGCTAGGTTTTAGCGGTCGAGAAACTTCGTGTGTAAATGGGCTCCGATTACCAAGTGTGAGAATCTAGGATCTAGCTCAGGAATGAGAGTTTGAATTGAATGATTCACCTCGGTACAAGACGAGGCTATATATAGGCTCGACACAAGGCAGGTAGCCCAAGTGTTACGCGAATATTCAGAGGGTCACGAATCGTCCCGAACAGAACCTTCCCAAACTCAGTAGAAAGCAAATCGGTGGAAACTGAACAGGCTTAAGTTTGGTACACGCAGTCTGGTTCGATGCGATAACTATAATAAAACATAGGAATGCACCTAACCTTGTTAAACTGATATGCTATAGTCTGTGTAGGCTGTAGTGGGGTAGTTCATATGGGGTACAACACTTAAGGGTTTCCCATTTGTACTCCTCATGCTGCTCAATGCAATCATTCCTCGTTCTATCTTTCACATGGTTTCAGAGCATGTTCCCTAGTGGGAACATGTTTTTTTTAGGGCCCACCACGATTTTTCCTGCCCTGCCCAAAGTGCGCCTCGCGCCTGCCTCACCTGCGTTGTAGCGCGCCCTGCCCAACTCCCGCTCGTAGCGGCCCTGCCCTACCGGCCCGTCGCCGCCCTGCCCTAACGGCCCATCGCGGCCTTGACCTAGACGCCCGTTGTGGCCCTGCCCTGCCGCCCCACGTTGCGGCCTGACCCGCCGCCCGTCGCGGCCCTGCCCTGCCGCCCCACGTCGCGGCCCTGACCTCGTCGCGCGTCGCGGCCCTGACCTCGCCGCCCGTCGCAGCCCTGCCCTGCCGCCACCTGTCGCGGCCCTGCCCTCAGCCACTCGTCGCGGCCTTGCTGTACCGCCGCCCCGTCGCGGCCCTGGCCTGCAGCCGCCTCGTCACGGCCCTACCCTGCAGCCGCCAGTCACATGCGTGCCCCACCCGCCGTCAGTGGCACCTGCCCTACCCGCCCCTGGTGAGCACCTGCCCTACCTGCGCCGCCGCGCCCTGCCCTGGCCGTCGCGTTGCCCTAGGACCCGCGCGACGACCTGCCCTGGCAGTCGCGCCGCCCTAGGGTCCGCGCGACGACCTGCCCTGCCCGCCGTGTTGCCCTAGGGCCCACGAGTCGCCCCTGCCGTGCCCATCGCATCACCTTAGGGCACGCGCGCCGCCCCTGCCTTGCCCGTCGCGTCGCCCTAGGGCCTGCATGCCGCCCATGTCCTGCCCGTCACGTCGCCCTGGGGCCCGCGCGCCGCTACTGCCCTGCCCCTCGCGTCGCCCTAGGGCCCGTGCGCCGCCCCTGCCCTGCCCATCGCGTCGCCCTAGGGCCTGCACGCCTCAAGATTCACTATAGCCGCTGCCGCTACTGCTGGGTGAAGTGTCGGTGTCGCCGCTGTTGCTGCTGTGTCAGAGGTCCACTGGTGATCCCCGATCGATCCTAGGGAAGGGTTACAGGCACGTTTGCCTGGGGGGTTATGGGCGCACTGACCCGCTACTGAAACAAGCCCTTTTATCCCAATGGTCTAGTGGTTGGGATTCTGAGATGGTATCCAGAGCGAAGGTCTCGGGTTCGAATCCCGGTGTATGCACTTCGGGCATCCCAGTGCGGGGGGGTGTCAGAGGTCCACTGGTGATCCCCGATCGATCCTAGGGAAGGGTTACAGGCACGTTTGCCTGGGGGGTTATGGGCGCACTGACCCGCTACTGAAACAAGCCCTTTTATCCCAATGGTCTAGTGGTTGGGATTCTGAGATGCTGCTTGCGTCATTGCTGCATTCGCTGCTACGTTCGCTGCTGCCGTGGCGGCTGCAGACTGGTTTGCGAGAACCTCCTCTATTCGCCGGACTGCCGCTCGTATCTGGTCCACGTCGATGTGTAACTCCGTATTCTTCTGTACGGAATTATCACCATTTTCCTCCATTTGGCGATTTGCAAGAAGATTTTTTACAGAAATAATTGAATTCTAGGCGCTGGTCGACTTACTGCGAATCAAATCGACTGTAAAATTAACAAGCACTGATTCTATTGATCGCGTAATTCTCCCTTAGCCAATATTTGCGTCAGATCTCGGCCGTTGGGATGAAAGTTGATTCGACGCTTTAAATTTCAACTTTTCGAGCTGAACTTCTCGGGGCCGTCGATGTTCGAAACGATCCAACGGTCGAAATTCCAACTTTTTCGCAATTGAATCTGGGGAGTGTTTGAAAACCAGTTACGTATCCTTAAAAAACAGGCAAAACTGGTTCACGTACCCTGAAATCGGCGCTTTCGTCATCGCCCCCGCGGTTTAAATAGCTAGATTTTAGCGGTAGAGAAACTTCTTGTGCAAACGGGCTCTGATTTCCAAGTATGATGATCTGGGTTCTAGCTCAGGAAAGAGAGTTTGAATTGAATGATTACCTGGGTACAAGACGAGGCTAAATATAGGCTCGACACAAGAGAGGTAACCCAGGTGTTACGTGAATATTCTGTGGGCCGCGAATCGTCTCGAACAGAACCTTCCCCAACTCAGTAGAAAGCAATTCGGTGGAAACTGAATAGGCTTGAGTTCGGTACACGAGCCGAGTTCGGTGTTATAATAATAATAAAATATAGGAATGCACCTAACCTAGGAAATCAAGCATGTCTCTATATGATAAAATATACCCAAGCTAGTTAGAGCATTATAAAGTCCAGGAATGCTAGAAAGGTCAGCATAAGCCATCTTACTCTCACAGGGTTAGCCAACACAACAAACGGTCACAAGACCAATCAGGCGAGTCAACAAAGCAATGCAAAGCTCACGGTAGATCTCAAGATCACCACGCATTCTGAACAGAAGCAAGCGGCCACAAGGCCAGTTCACGTGCAAACTTGTAATAGCAAGGAAGTACAGTGCTTACAACCTAACAGGGGTAAACATGCAGGTATTGACAAAATTAGAAGAAAGAAAGAGGAATGAGCAGAAATGGGGATACAAATAGCAAACCCTAGAAGGGTTGTACTCGCTATAGAGCACCCCACTACAGGCTAGAACATAAGAATAATATTCTGACAGGTATATACAAATGTATATATATACATAATATATATATATATCTCTGTTCAACAAGTGCAAGATCAAGAGACAAGTAGGTCACGAAGTGGGCAAAAGCCCAAGAGTAGTGCAAAAGCGCTGATGATCACCAGACCCGCGGGCCTTGTAAAGACATCAGCAGTGTTGGCCCGAGAGGCTACGTAGGAAAGGCGAAGCTGACCATGATGCTGCAGCTCTCGAGCAAGAAAGTAGCGAAGAGCAATGTGCTTCATTCTGAGCTCCAGCCTCTGCTCATGACACAAGGCAAGCATCGCTTTGTTGTTGACGTACACAACTGGAGGAGAACGAGTCCGCTCCCCCAAGTCGGTCAGCAGATAGGTCAGCCAGCGTAGCTCCTATGCAGCCATAGCCCCAACGTAGATCTCATCCTCATAGCTGGAACCAAGTATAGAAGACGAACGAGTAGATCTCCATGAGAGAGTACCAGAGCCAAGACTGAAGGTGTAACCCTGTGACGACCGCTGAATCGCCTGGTCATCGGCCCAGGAAGCGTGTGAGTGACCTATGAGTGCCACTAATTCGCGTCCTCCAAGCACAAGCCCCATGCCCGATGTACTGCACAAGTAACACAGTACCATCTTTGCACCATCCCACTACACCTTTCCGTGTCTATCGGGAGCCACGTAGCGAGCTCAGGTCAGGTCGTGTGCACGTCATCAGGTACGTGAGGCAACACACAAGCTCTAGATACGGACCACTCGGCCCAACGTACTCGCCCGAAGGTGGAGCTGAGAGCGAGTGGCCTGTAGGCGGAGGAGTGGCCTGTAGGCAGAGGAGTGGGCTGTGGCGAGGACGACGTGAAGCCGAAGCGCTGAAGGACCTGGTGCACGATGTGTGACTATTCAGGGCGATGGTGCGCCATGCTCTGTCCCGGGTGATGTGCAAGCCAAGATAGCTCCAAAGCTCACCCAAGTCAATTCAGGTGTGTCTCTCCTGCAGTTTTGCTTTCACTAAGGTCAGTGCCTCAGTGTCAGTAGTAGCAAAATCCAAGTCGGCGATGTACACGAGAACATAGAACGGCGGCAAAGAAGTGCCTTGTTTGCCGCTGTAGAACCCCAACTGCACCAAGCTGCTACCACCACCACCACCACCACCACCAGCAGCAGCAGCAGATACCATACCATCTGCGCTGCTGCCCTGCCAAGCACTGCCCAACTCCACTCCGCCGTGCCTCTCACCCCTCCCATCTTCCATCTCCCCCTTAAATCATTGTTTTTGTGGTATTCACAAACGAGCCAGCGCCCGCCTGTAGGGCACCCTTGGCACCCTTGCCGCTGCTGAACGCGTTGAACGCCGCCGTGAGCGCGTCCTTGCCGCCCTTCCTCACCACATTCTTCACCAACCCTCCCACCTTCTGGCCCGCCTCGCTCTTCGCCGCTTGATTCGCCGCGTTCTTCACCTTCTGCCAGCTCAGAAGCACCCGCACCGCCTCGTCCAGCCCGTTCGTACACATATGTTTGTATTTATGTAGGCTGTATGGGGGTTAGTATTAGGGGGTACAAAGCCTTTCTCCACGTTGTTCTTGTTCCCGCTCCTTTTACCTTGTCAACATAATTCCTACCTAGTTACAACCTGGAATTATGAGCAGCTAGGTCTTTAGGGCCGTTTTTTTTAAGAGGGCCCACCATTAGTTCCTCCCATTTTACTGCCCGAATCGCACCCCTAGGGCACGCCGATTTTTTTCCAGCTCACATCGAGCCCCACGCGCTGCTTTACAGCTCGCGCGCGCCCCACTCCCCTCCGCCCAAGAATGCCTCGCTGCCCAGCGCTTCGCCCAGCGCTTACGCGCGCCCCGCTGCCCTGTGTCCTGATGTTGTGCGCAGCCCGTACAGCCCGCTCCAGGCCCGCGCGCAGCCCCAGGCCCATGCGAAGCCCATATAGCCCGCGCGCACCTGCCTTGCCCCATGTGTCAGCCCTGCGTTGCTCGCGAGCACCTGCCCTTCGCTCCGCCGGCGACCCGCGAGCTGCCCGCACACTGCCCTGTGCGCGCCCTGCCGAGCCGTAGCTGCTGCCTGCTACTGCAGCCACTAGTGTTGGCCGCTGCCGCTGCTGCTACTGGCCGCTGCCACTGGTGCCCTGCCCTCCCTGGCCGCCGCCAGTGCTGCCTTGCTGTTGCCACTGCTGCCGGCCATTGCCACTGCAGTTGCCGCCCGCTGCCAGTGCTTCCCTGCCTGCCCGCGCCGCTCAGTGCTACCCTGCCCTGCCTGGCCGCTGCCAGTGCTGCTCTGCTACCGCCACCGCTGCCGGCCTCTGCCACTGCTGCTGCCGGCCGCTGCCACTGCTGCCCTGTTGGCCCACGTTGCTCAGCGCTTCCCTGCCCTGCCTGGCCGCCGCCTCCGCTGCACTGTTGCCGCCACTGCTGCCGACCATTGCCACTGCTGTTGCCGGCCTCTGCCACTGGATCCCTGCCTGCACACACTGCTCAGCACTGCCCTGCTGCCACCACTACTACCGATCACTGCCACTAGTGCTGCCGGCGGCTGCCACTGCTGCCCTGACTGTACACAATGCTCAGCGCTGCCCTGCCCTACCTGGCCGCCGCCAACGCTGCTCTGCTGCTACCACTGCTACCGGCCACTGCCACTGCTGGTGCCGGCTGCTGCCACTGCTGCCCTGCCTGCACGCATTGTTCAGTGCTGCCCTAACCTGCCTGGTGGCTAGCGCTGCCCTGCTGCTGCTAATGCTGCCGGCCACCGCCTCTGTTGCCGCCACTCCCGACGGCCGCTGCCACTGCCATTGCTGCACCGCCAGCTGGGGCCCTGCCCTGCCCTGCTTGTGCGCCTTCTGCTGCTACTCCGGAGCAGCCCTACTGGCCCACCCCTTCTTGCTGCTACTGCCAACTGCCGCTGCCGCCCTTGCTACCATCTGCGCGCGCTCCTATAGTTACTACCGCTATTGCACCTCGCACTACTGTCACTGCACCTACCGTTCATGCTACCGCCGCTGCAGTCGCTACTTCAGCCCTTGAGCCGCTACTACTGACTGACACGGCCTACCATGGTCACTACCACTGTCCTTCGTCAGCGGCAGCCAAGTGTGTCGTAGTCTCTCTCGCTGTAGCAGCTTCGCGAGTGGGCCATCTGGTGGGGCAGGCCCGGTGGTGGAGCTAACCGTGCTTGTCTGCGGAAGCCGCTTAGGACATAGCAGCGTTGTGAGTGGGCGGTCCGGTGGGGCAGCCCCGGTGGAGGAGCCTGGGGTGCTACTACTGGAGGTACCTGTGAGTCTACTCCTGCTGGTAGTGTCGTTTGTAGACGCGGAGGTTCTGGGGGTGGACAGTAGCGGCAGCAGCGTCCGTCGGAGACTCTCTTCCCACAACAACTTCCTGAGTGGGCTGTCTGGTAGGGCAGCCTCAGTAGTGGAGCTTGGGGTACTAGTGCTGGGGATGGAGAGGCACCTGGTGGTGTAGAGGCTACTAGTCTAGGTTCTTGTGACTCAGCTAGCTTAGGTGCAGAGTCTGAGGAGGTATTGCACACTTTCCTACTCGACCCAGGCACGTCTCGCTACTTCTTCCGCAACTGCACCACAGTCACACCGCTCACAGCCCCTGTCCCTGTCACTCTGGCCGACCCCTCTGGTGGCCCAGTTGTTGCATGTAGCTCCACTATTCTTTCGTGTCTCGCAGCCCCCTCCGGTTCCCTCATAGGTTTCCACCTCCCCTCGTTCACTAGGAACTTAGTGGCTACAACTGTCCTACGGGACTAGTTTGTCACTGTTACCCAGCCTGGGGGAGAGCTCGTGGCGATCTGTATGGACTCACGCACTAGTAAGCACCTCGCCACGTTCACTCGGAGGCCCGGGTCTGGCCTGTACACACCGACCACTGAGTCCGCGCAGGTGGCTGAGTCAGGTCAGGTAGCTGCGTCCGTTGAGGTAGCAGCGTCTTGTTCGTGTCGTCTCCTCACGGACCAAAATCTTCTCTGGCACCACCGTCTTGCTCACCCCTACTTGCCACACGTGACATGCACTCCTGTCTCCTTGTGTCTGGTCTCTCTAGGTCCCTGCCCCCGCTCCCGAGGTCGCTTGCGCCGCCGTGCCTTCCCTGCGTCGAGGGACGGCAGCGCGCTTGGCGGCCCCTCCTGGTTTTCCGCCTCGGTCGTCTTCACTGCCTCTGCAACCACTCGCGGTGGACTCTGGTGCTGCTGGAGGTGGTGACACCGGGGGTGCAGACTCTGAGGGTGCTGGTTCTGGGGGTGCTGAGTGTCCTACGGGAATAGGAGGATATGGAGGTGCTGCAGTTGGAGCTGCTGGAGGTGTTGGTGCTGGTGTTACTAGAGTTGGAGGTGCTGGGGGTCCTGGTGTTGGAGCCGCTAGTGCCGGCGTTACTGGTGCATGTCCACAAGAGACTCTCTCGCTGGAGCGGCTTCGCGACTGGGCTGTCTGGTGGGGCAGCCCTAGTGGTGGAGCTAGCCGTGCTAGAGTTGGCGGTGCTAGAGCTGGAGGTACTGGAGCTGCTAGTGCTGGAGGTCCTGGGGCTGCTGGTGCTAGAGGTGCTAGAGCTTTAGGTGCTAGAGGTACTGGAGCCGCTAAAACTGGAGGTGCTAGAGCTGGAGGTACTGGAGATAGTGGAGCTGTTGGTGCTGGAGGTACAGGAGCTGCTGGTGTTGGAGGAGCTAGAGCTGCTGGTTCTGGAGGTGCTAGTGCTGGAGGTAATGGAGATCCTGGAGCTGGTGGTACTGGAGGTACTGGAGGTGCTAGGGCTAGAGGTGCTGGAGGTGTTGGAGCTTCTGACGGTATGGGTACTGCGCCACGCCGACTGTTTTTCTACTTGTAGCCGCAGTCGTTCCTACCACCGAATGACTCGGCACTTCGTCAGGTTCTTAATCTTCCGTCTTCCACTGGCCTTACTCCGCCTCTCCTATGTCCTCCACCTTACTAGTCACAGCCGCAGTTACTGCCTAGCTTGCCACTGCCTGCTCCTTCTCCCTACCTTGCACAGACAGGCTTCCTAGCAGAGCGTCGTGAGCCTGAGTCTCGTCCTCCCTCCCCTGCTCGCACTGTTAGTCGTACTCGTCGTTCTCGTCCTCCACCAGTTCTTCGCACACACACTATGACACTTCGTCCTTCCTCTGTTCCACAGCGTGTTGCTCTGCCGTCTCCTCCTGCGTCCTCTCTTCCTGTTGTTCCTGACCCTGATTCTGACCTTGCTCGTGCTACTAGTCCTACTGTCACTCGTCTCCTCGCAACAGTTGTCACTAACCCTTCCTTTGATTCTACTACTGCATTTGCCCTAGTCACTAAGCTAGTCGACTTTGCTGCTACCCGTCGTCTCGACTACGTTGCAAGTCTTGTTACTAAGTTTGAGTTTGTCTATCCTCCGTCCGTCGAGGGTGAGCTTGCCCCTGGCTTTGACGTCTTTGAGGACAGGCAGTTTGAGCTCGAGTGTCTCGCGTCCGTTTTACCCCGTTTCAAGTCCATGCTGCTTTTCCCTGAGAGAGACCCGGATGCACTTGACATGCCTACCCCACGCTCTTACGCAGAGGTGTCAGAATGTTATAATTGTCTAGCCTACAGTGGGGTACTCTATAGCGAGTACAACCCAATTAGGGTTTCCTATATGTATGGCAACTGCTGCTAGTGCAACCCCTCCTTCTTCTTCATTCCTCATTTCTTCACTTGCTATCAGAGCATCTACGCTCCTGGCCTGTGTGCCCACCAATCTGCTTCCGCTGCTACTCTGTGTGCTGCACGCCCCGTGGCATGCGACGGAATTTTTCTTCCCATCGGCCGCCCTCTTGTCGAGCACTCCTAGAGGCCCCTCTCACGGCCCCTCGCGCGACCCTTAGTGGCCGCGTCGCCACCCCTCGCGGCCCCGTCGCCGCCCTTCTCGGCCCCTCGTGGCCCCGTTGCCGCCCTTCCAGGCCCCTCGCGGCCCCTTTGCGGCCCTGTCGCCGCCCCTAACAGCCCCGTCGCAGACCTTTCAGGCCCCTCGCGGCCCCTTCGCGGCCCCGTCGCCGCCCCTAGCGGCCCGTCGCCGCCCTTCCAGGCCCCTCGCGGCCCCTTCGCGGCCCCGTCGCCGCCCCTATCGGCCCCGTCGTCGCCCCTTGCGGCCCCGTCGCCGCCCCTTTCGGCCCTGCCTTGACCCTGCCCCGGCCCCGCCCCGGCCATGCTCCGTCGCCTGTCGCGGCGCACCGGGGACCCGTGCACCGCCCCCCCCTCTTTTCCCGTCGCCCGTCGCGGCTCCCTGAGGGCCGACCTGGGGGGGGGGGGGGGCGAGCGTCGCCCCTTCTGCCTCCTGTTTTAGCGCCCTAGGAGGCCGCGCGTCACCCCCCCCCCCCGTAACCTCCCTACCCGTCGCCCGGCCCTGCCCTGTGTTAGGGTTTGGGGGTGGCGAGTAGGGGGTGGCGGGTGTGTGGTCTCCCCTGCTGCTCCTCCTCCTCTGTCTCCCACTGCTGCAGCTGCCGCTGAGGGGGGTGGGTGTGTGGGAGTTGACGGACTGGTGTAGGGGGTGGGGTGTGAGTGAACCTAGGGTGCAGCAGGGGGTGTGTGAAAGGGGGGTGCTGTGGGAGTGGAACTAGGGTTTGAGCAGGGGGTGTTTGTCGAGAGGTGTGGGGCAGCTGGAGGAGGTTGAGGGTAGCTGTCGTGTCGCCTTCAGCGCCTGTAGTCCGTCGCCCTTGCTTTGGTAGCCAGTGAGCCTGTTGCATCAGTCGCCAGTGGGTCCGTTGCTCCTGCAGCTCGTCTATAGCCGCGGAGCCAGTTACTCCAGTAGTCCGTCGCCCTTGCTTCGGTAGCCATTGAGTCAGCCGCTCTTGTGCCCGTGCCTCTGCAGCTTTAGTCGTTGCCTCCCATCTTCTCTCCCTCCACAGTTTCTCCTCCTCCTCACTTGCCCGCTGTCATTAACTCTAGCTTTGCTCGCTATTGTGAACTCCTGCTCTATGTCTGCTTGCTCATTGTGCTGATTACACCCCACTTTGGCTATGGGGGTGTGTCAGAATGTTATAATTGTCTAGCCTGCAGTGGGGTACTCTATAGCGAGTACAACCCAATTAGGGTTTCCATACGTATGCCAACTGCTGCTAGTGCACACCTCCTTCTTCATTCCTCATTTTTTCACAAGAGGCGATCACACGTGAGTACTCCTCTCAGTGGCAGGCAGCCATGGATGCCGAGATGGCATCTTGGAAGTCCACAAGCATCTACGTTGACGAGGTTCCCTCTCCTGGGGCGAACATAGTTGATGGCATGTGGATTTTCAGAGTGAAGCGACCCCCGGGTTCTCCGCCTGCCTTCAAGATGCGTTACGTTGCACGAGGCTTCAGTCAGTGACAGGGGGTCGATTTCTTCCAGACCTTCTCCCCCACCTCAAAGATGACCACTCTTTAGGGATTACTGCACGTTGGAGCACAGCGTGACTACGAGCTTCACTCGCTTAACTTCTGCACAGCTCTCTTCCAAGGCAGCCTGCACAAGGAGATCTCGCTGCGCTGGGGCGTTTCCTGAGGGTACCCAGTGGAGCTTCCGGCGGCCAGTCGCCTTGCAAGTGGAACAACACACTGAGGACGACGCTTGCGGCTCTTGGGTTTGCTCTTTCGACTGCTGACCCGTCGTTGTTTCTACGCACCGACACTTCTTTGCCACCGTTCTACATCCTCGTGTACGTCGACAACTTGGTCTTTGCTACTGCTGACACTGAGGCACTGGCCCTTGTGAATTCGGAGCTGCAGAAGAGACACATCTGCACTGACTTGGGTTAGCTGCACAGCTATCTTGGCTTGCAGATCACCCGGGACAGAGCACGGTGCACCATCACTTTGACTTAGTCACACATGGTGCACCAGGTCCTTGAGCGCTTCGGCTTCTAGTTCTCCTCGCCACAGTCCACTCCTCTGCCTACAGGTCACTAGCTCTCAGCTCCACCTTCGGACAAGTCTGTAGAGCCGAGTGGTCAGTATCCAGAGCTTGTGGGCTGTCTCATGTACCTGATGACCTGCACTTGACCTGACCTCGTGTACCCTCTCAGCATCCTGGTGCGCTACGTTGCGCCCGGGAGACACCGACCAGAGCACTGGCGGGCTGCTAGGAGGGTGCTGCGTTACTTGTGCAGTACATACGGCATGGGGCTCGTGCTTGGAGGACAGGCTCCAACTGTACTCAGTGGACACTCAGATGCTTCTTGGGCAGACGACCAGGCGACTCAGCGGTTGTCACAGGGTTACACCTTCAGCCTTGGCTACGGTTCAGTTTCTTGGAGGTCTACTTGCTCGTCTTCTGTTCTCAGCTCTAGTTGTGAGGCTGAGATCTACGCGGGGGCCATGATTGCCTTGTTTCAAGACCACAGAGTGGAGCACAGAACGAAGCATATTGCTCAGCGTTAATTTCTCACACGAGAGTTGCAGCAACGTGGTCAGCTTCGTCGTGCTTACGTGGCTTGACGGGCCAACACTGCTGATATTTTCACCAAGGCACTTGTGTCTAGTGATCATCAGCGTTTCTGCACTGGTCTAGGCCTTGCGCATACTCTGCCTCACATGCTTACTGCGTGGCTTTGCCTTGTACAGTGATCTTTAAATATATACATTCATGCATATTCTTGCTAAGTTGTGATCACTATACTGCATGTGCTCTATATAACTTTGCATGTGAACTGGCCTTGTGACCATTTGCTTGTGCTCGGACTGTGTGGTGACTTTGTGATCCACCCTGACCTGTACTTTGCTTCTTCTCTAGACTGGTCTTATGGTCATTGCTTGCTCTTGTTAGAGACTAAGAGTCTATGAAGGTTATGGGCCTAAATTTCTCAAAATCGTTGGTCTCAATCTCTAGACAGAATAGTCGCGCTCAAAAGAAACGCCGTCGACGAAACGTTCACGGCCAAAACTTCACCAAACTCAGCATGTTGTAGCCCTAGTCGGTGGCTACAATCCCCAATTTGAGTCGTATCAAGAGGTGAAGTAAATCTTGACTTAACAATTTCGGCGCACAAGGGGGTATGCTGCCGTGAGAACTTAACTCAATGATAAGAGTCTCACAAGTTCTGCCATGAGAGCTTAACTCAATGATAAGAGTCTCACAAGTTCCACAATTACTACACAAGAAAGTTAGAGCAGGAAAAAACCAAGTGGGATGGGATGAGGAGGACGTGAGGGAAGGTCCCAAGAGAGTCCCCAACCAAGGAAACCCCATGCCACACAATTCCCCTCTCCATAGGCAACCCCACTTTCACTTTTGTCACTTTCCCAACCCATGCCATCCACCTTGCCCAACTTGGCCACACTTGCCAACCTGGTTTGGCTCCTCCCAGCCACTTGGCAGCATCTACAGTGATGGGGACGAATTTCCCAACCCCAAAAGTCTGTACCCCTTATTGAGTCAACCCCACAACTTCCCACAGTTGCCACAATCAAATATGAAAAGCATACGAACTCCAACGTTCGTTGCTTTCTTGATCGTGCTCCGATTGAAGCGATACTTGGTTCGTCAGAAAACTCTTGAGTAGATGAGTCACTTCAGATATCTGCTCAAGCCAAATAACATTCACACACACTCAGAAAAATTCAAACCACACAAAACACAATTCCTTGCACACGCTCACACTACGCATGCAACGCACGAACATATGATGGAAGGCACACAGACGTGAATGCATATGATTGCATCACACAACAGCTCTGGCTTTCCCCCATTTTGCCTAAGGGGGTGTGTCAAAACATATATGTTTGTATTGATGTAGGTTGTAAGGGGGCAGGTCATCACGTACATGAGGCAGCCAACAAGCTCTGGGTACGGGCCAATCGGCTCTACGGACTCATCCAAAGGCAGAGCTGAGAGCGAGTGGCGAGTAGACAGAGGAGTGGCCTGAGGCGAGGAATACGTGAAGTCGAAGCGCTGAAGGACCTGCTGCACCATGTGTGATTGAGTCAGGGTAATGGTGCACTGTGCTCTGTCCCGGGTGATCTGCAAGCCAAAGTAGCTGCGCAGTTCACCCAGGTCTGTGCACGTGTGTCTCTTCTGCAGCTCGGACTTCACGTGGGCGAGTCCAGCAGTGTCAGCAGTGGCAAAGACCAAGTCGTCAACGTACACAAGGATGTAGAATGGCGGCAAAGAGGTGTCGGTGCGCAGAAACAGCGACGGGTCGGCAGTAGAAGGAGCAAACCCAAGAGCCGCAAGTGTAGTCCTCAGTGTGTCGTGCCACTCACGGGGCGCCTGGCGGAGACCGTAGACTGGCCGCCAGAGGCTCCACTGGGTACCAGGAGGAAACGACCCAGTGAAGCCAGGTGGGCGGCGCAGCCAGATCTCCCCGTGCAGGCTGCCCTGCAAGAAAGCAGTGCTGAAGTCAAGAGAGTCAAGCTCATAGTCGGGCTGAGCGGCTATGTGCAGCAGCACCAGAAGAGTGGTCATCTTCGGGGTGGGAGAGAAGGTCTGAAAGTAGTCAACTCCCTGCCGCGGACTGAAGCCTCGAGCCACGTAACGCGCCTTGAAGACAAGCGGAGAACCAAGCGACCGCTTCACCCTGAAAATCCACATGCCACTGACGATGTTTGCCCTAGGTGGGGGAACCTCGTCGACGTAGGTGCCTGTGGACTTCCAGGAAGCCATCTCTGCGTCCATGGCTGACTGCCACTGAGAGGAGTAGGGACCCTCGATCGCCTCAGCGTACGATCGAGGAGTCGGGATGTCTGGTGCATCCGGGTCTCCCTCAGGTGCAATCAGCATGGACACGAGATGAGGCAAAGCAGCAGCAAAACACTGGAACTCATCCTGCCTGTCCTCAAGGACGTTCGTGCTAAGAGCACACTCACCCCCGACGGACGGAGGACAGACATACTCAGACTGAGCAACGAGACTAGCAGCGTAGTCTAGACGACAGCGAGCAACAAAGTGGACAAGCTCAGCAACTAAGGCAGACGCAGCAGTGGACTCAAAAGAAGGGTCAGTGACAACAGTAGCCAGGAGACGCGTAACAGTAGGACTAGCAGCACGAAGAGAGTCAGACTCCAAGTCAGCAAGAATAGGAAGAGAGGACTCTGGAGGAGACGGCAATGGGACATGCAGAGGAGCAGTGGAAGGACGCAGTGCCATCTGGTGTGTGTCTGGGACCGCAGGAGGACGCGGACGCAGAGCACGACTACTAGTGCGAGCAGCTCGAACAGGCGACGCAAGACGAGACGCAGGCTCACGACGCTCACCAAGACCTCCAGTAGGACCAGTGTAGGGAGAAGGAGCAGGTAGGGGGGAGGCGAGCTGTAACTGTGACCGCGACTGGACAGGCTGTGGACCCTCTAAGGGAGAAGCAGGACCAGTAGAGGGTGGGAGACCAAGAACCTGCTCAAGGAGCGGAACGAAGTACGGCCTCGGCCGCACAGCGCGTCCAGAACCAGCAGGGACAGCACCAGTAGCCCCCGCAGCAGCACCAGCGCCAGCAGCACCTCCAGCTCCAACAGCGCCAGCTCTAGCACCCTCAGAAGCACCAGCGCCAGCAGCACCACCAGCACCAACACCCCCAGCAGCTCCAGCTCCAGCAGCACCAACTCGAGCAGGACCGTCAGCTCCAGTACCGCCAGCAGCTCCAGAAGTACCTCCAGCAGGACGATCTCCAGCAGCCCCAGCAGCACCCCCAGTCCCAGCAGCTCCAGTACCGCTAGTACGAGCACCTCCAAGACCAGCAGGAACAGCAGTACCTCCAGCTCCAGCAACACGGCTCCAGCGCCGGGCAAACCACTCGCGCAGCTTCTGCGGAGAGAGTAGCTCCCGCCTCGACGAAGCACCGCCACACGCCACACGAGAAGACCCAGCACCCCCTGGCTCCGCACCCCCAGGCTCTGTACCCCCAGGCTCAGCACCCCCAGGCTCCGCACCCCCAGGCTCAGCACCCCCACACTCAGCACCCCCAGGCTCAGCACCCCAAAGCTACGCAACCCCGGACTCAGCATCCCCAGACTCAGCACCCGCAGGCTCAGCGCCCCTAGCAGCACCAGACTCAACAGCTACCTCGACAAGCTCGACTGCGTCTACCTGGGACACACTTGACGGGGCAGTACACTGAGGGGGGAGAGGGTCTACCGGGGGAGGACCTGGCGCAAGGAAGAGCGGCGGTGGGGGAAGGGGCGCAGTGCGGTAGGGGAAGAGACGGTAGTAAGGCACCGACTTGTCAAAGGTGACGTCCTGGGAGGACAGAACACGGCGCCAGGTGGGGTGGTAAAACTGCCAGCCAGGCGCGTCAGGGGGGAAGCCAAGGAAGACGCAGGGAACAGCACGGGGGGACAGCTTGTCCGCAGACAAGTCGCGGACAAACGCTTGAGATCCCCAGACCCGAAACGCAGATGCATTGCCAACCTTCCCCGTCCACCGCAAGGTGGGGGAGGTCTCTGGCAAGGAGACCCGGGGCCGAAGGTTGAGCTGATGCGCTGCGTACTGAACCGCAAACGGCCACAGAAAATGGGGAGCAGCCGCATGGATCATGGACATACGGGCGACGTCCATGACCATGCCAATGCGGCGCTCAGCAATCCCATTTTGCTGTGGAGAGGCCGGAAGCGTGAAGGTCTGGCGGATGCCGTGTGCACGACAGAAGGCTCCCAGAAGGGCAGAGGAAAATTCCCCGCCTCTGTCAGAGTGCAGACGCAGAACAAGAGAGTCCGAGCCGAAACTCTCTCTGAGCTGGAGACGAGCCGCGCAGATCCAGTCGATCAACACCTCAGTGACGTCACCCTTGCTGCGCAAGGGGAAGACCGTGGTGTAACGCGAGTAGTCGTCAACCGCCAACAGGAAGTAACGCTCGTGACCCTGGCCACGAACGCGGGCGGGGCCCCACACGTCTATGTGAAGAGTCTGCAGCAGAGCCTCTGTTGGAGGAAACTCGGAGGAGTGAGGGGCGGCGCGCTGCCGCCCCTCGATGCAGGGAACGCAGGTAGGGGAACGCCCCGGAGGGCGGGGAGGGAGGGACCGGGGGAGACCAGTGACAAGGACACGGGAGGCCATGCCTCGGAGACGAGGCAGGGAGGGAAGACCAAGGCGGTGGTGCCAAAGGAGAGTCTGGTGGGACAGGAGACGATATGAGCAGGGAGCAGACTCAGGACCAGACCTGGACGCTGCAGCAAACACCTGACTCGACGCAGCTACCTGACCAGACTCAGCAACCGGAGGAGACTCAGTAGTCAGTGTGTACAGGCTCGACCCCGACCGACAGGTAAACGTGGCCTAGTGTCGGCCCGTCCGAGCACACGTACAGTGGGTCACCCGCTGACTCGCAGGAGTGAACTGGTCAACCCCCCGATCCTGTAGATCAGCACCACTCACCAAGTTCATAGAGAACGAGGGGAGGTAGAGACCTGATAGGGTGCCAGAGGGGGCTGCCGGACACGGCAAGACAGTGGAGAAGCGAGCAAGGACAGGACCCCCAGAGGGGTCCGCCAGGGAGACCGCAACCGGCCGACTAAGCGACGTAAGCGTGGTGCGGTCTCGAAAGAAGGAGCGGGAAGCACCCGAGTCAAGGGTGAAGGTGTGTAAGGCCTGAGCCGACGTGGTACCTGAGAGAGCAGACTCACCAGCACCTGGGGCAGCAGACGCACTAGCACCTAGAGCAAGGCCTCACCAGCACCTAGAGCAGCAGCCTCAATGCCCAGGTCAGGCGGAAGACACAGGTAATAGTCACCCTCATCACTAGTAGACACAGCATACATGGCAGCAAGAATAGCATCATAGTCAAGATCAAAGATAGCAACCCCCGCCCTAGACAGCTCTCACCAGCGAGGGATCTCAGTGGCGTCAGGGAACTGGTGACGCCAAGCGTCCGTCAGGCGGCCGAAGCAGCGCTGGGTGGAGTGCGGGCCCCCGCAATGCTCACCAGCGCAGTCGCCGGTACGGAGGACGTAGGTACAGGGACCAGTACCCCCACCTCGCTGACGCCCAGCGTACCACTCACGAAGCTGCTAGGGGGACGGGGTCTCACGAGTGCGCTGCTGCTGCTGGCGCTGACTACCACCTGAGCCGCCCCGCAGCGCAAAGTCACCCCGACTAGCTCCACCTCCTCCGCCGCCACCTCTGCCATCGCCGCCACTGCCTCCTCTTCCGCTCCCACCGCCACCGCCGCCGCCGCCTCCGCCGCCAACGCCGCCATCGAAGCCCCCACCCCCACCACCACTCCCACCACCACCCCCACTCCCTCCGCCTCCTCCAACTCCACCTCCACCGCCCCCGCCAGCCCCTCCAGCGCCCTTGCCCCCCTTACCCTTGCCGGTGCGTCGTCGCCTGCTAGGGGTAGACGCAGCGCCAACCGGCTTGGTGCCAACGAAGTCGACCGCAGCAGCAGAGGCAACAGAGGGCAAAAGGGGGGAGGGGGAGCACCCCTCAAAGACAGGGGCACGCGGGTCACCTCTAGAGGCTCCTACTGCGACTATACTCTTCTCAGCTGCCAGGAGGCGCTCCTCGAGGAGGTCAACGGTGAGTGTAGTGAGGCAAATATAGAGGAAGTGGTCCCAAACCTCGAAGTCAATAACACGACCCTCAGCATCAAAGGTAAGGACACTGGGGGTAGCCATGACAGCAGTTGTCTAGTAGGGTGGGTAGGGCCGGGGCGCGCCGGGAGGAGCAAGGCTGCAACAGCGGTGGCAGCGGCTTGGCAGTGGCAGTGGCGGCTCGACGGCGGCTTCGGCGGGTCGGCGGGTCGGCGGCTCGGCTGCAGGCGGCTCGGGTGCTCGGCGGCCCGGCTGCTGGGCGGCTCGGCTGCTTGGCGGTTCGGCCGCTCGACTTTTCGGCTGTTCGGCTGCTCGGCTGCTCGGCTGTTCGGCTGCTTGGCGGCTCGGCAGTGAAGGGGCCAGGGAGGGGTTGAAAGGGGGGCGGCGACGGGGCGGCGACGGGGCCGCAAGGGGCGGCGACGGGGCCGCTAAGGGCGGCGACGAGGCTGCTAGAGGGTGGCGACGGGGCCGGGAAGGGCGGCGACAGGGGCAGCTAGGGGCGGCGACGGGGCCGCGAAGGGCGGCGACGGGGCCGGGAGGAGCGGCGACGGGGCCTCGAGGGGCGGCGACAGGGCCGTGAAGGGGCCGCGAGGGGCCTGGAAGGGTGGCGACGGGGCCGCTAGGGGCGGCGACGGGGCCGCGAAGGGGCCGCGAGGGGCCTGGATGGGCGGCGACGGGAGCGCTAGGGGCGGCGACGGGGCCGCGAAGGGGCCGCGAGGGGCCTGGAAGGGTGGCGACGGGGCCGCTACGGGCGGCGACGGGGCCGCGAAGGGGCCTTGAGGGGCCTAGAAGGGCGGCGACGGGGCCGCTAGGGGTGGCGATCGGGCCGCTAAGGGTGGCGCGAGGGGCCGTGAGAGGGGCCTCTAGGAGGGCTCGACAAGAGGGCGGCCCACGGGGCGCGCCTCAGGCAAGGGCGACTCGCGCTCTGGTCAGAAAAATAAGTTGATTATCAGTGGTGGGCCCTAGGAAGTTCCCACTAGGCAACCTGCTCTATACCATGTGAGAATAGAGGAATAAATGAACTAGGAAAGAGGTGGGTACACGTAGGAAAACCTAGAAATGTTGTACCCCATATTGTCTACCCCACTACAGCCTACACAGACTATAGCAGATAAGTTTGACAAACATATGATGGGAGGCAGACAGACGTGAATGCATATGATTGCATCACACAACAGCTCTGGCTATCCCCCATTTCGCCTAAGGGGGTGTGTCAAAACATATATGTTTGTATTGATGTAGGTTGTAAGGGGGTTAGCACTAGGGTGTACCTTTCTCGACATTGTTCTTGTTCCCCCTCCTTTCACCTAGTCTACATCATTCCTACCTAATTACAACATCGTGACCTCCCCCACCTCCTCCTCCTCGCCACCCACGTGGCCCACGTCTAGGTCACCGCCGCTCGCTTCCAGCAGCTTGCGCCCCCAAATCACCGCGTCCACGCCTGCGCTTCCCCCAGCAACGACGTCGCCCCGCTTTGGCACGGACGCGGCATACAGTGCGGGGAGAGAGACGAGGACCAAGGCGAGGATGAAAACGGTGCGAAGAGTGGCCATGGTTACAAGCGATTTCAGCGAGCGTCGGAGCGTTGGATTTCGAAAGTAGCACTGACGATGGCGTGCAATGATTAGATTATGGATCCAATTTGGTTGATTTTCGAGCGCTGAGAGAAGCAACTCAGTCAACTGATGGTGAATGGCGGAACGGAGGCAACATAGGTATCAAGGAAAGATGAGGAGGCGAGGATGGTGGAGGGAGAGCGTCGGTCACCACCATAATGGTACTCAGCCGCACAACGCGCAACATGCTGCAAAACTACTGGAGTGTACGTAATTAGTGTGGCTAATACCACCGCTTGTTGCGCTGGACTCCGATTCGGAGTTGGACCGCAGCACGGCAATAATTGTCAGCGGTCCATTTCGACCTTCGTTAGATCACCAGCTTGGTGAATTTCGAGAGCTGTGACTTTCGGGACTCATCTCCAATGACGAACACTACAAGAGTTCGCCATCTAAATCGCAATGACATAGACACCTCATTCCAGCAGCTCGCCCGGCTCGCAGTTATTGCTCGTATGATGGCTCCGCACAACGCGCTAAAGACGCGCCACCTTTGTTTGATCCCAGCACCGATCCTACGCAGGATCGTTTTTACCGGGAATAAAATGGAAAAAAACGAAGGATTTTTCTCCCTAAAAGAGATAGCATCGTTTTTTACCCCATTTTATCCCCGCTATAAAACAATCTTGCGTATGATCGATGATAGGTTCAAATAAAGGTGACGCGTCCTGAGAGTGCGTGATGGGTTGGATGAGGATGGGATGGATACGCTAGAAGTGAAGGCACCTGCTGGTAAGCACGAGGGATGGGTTGGATTGGAATGGTATCGGCTAGGTTGGGTTGGGTCGAGAGCCCAAAGCAACGGTCTTCTAGCAGCAATGGCATTTGGTGGAAGACCTAATGGGGGGCGTGTTACGAAACAAGTATCTATTCTTGTATGCCTCTATGTTACTACTAAATGAATTAAAAAAAAACATATCTTCCACCAACAAATGGGTATCAAGCCAAGCTTCTGGTCTGGTCCCTCCACAAGCGTGCGTGCAGTGCTTAAATACATCCTGGAATACATTCGTAATTTTCTTTTGGGTGGTTTTAGATTGATGCCTCTGGCGGACTGGAATGGCAATCGTGACGTGATGCCTCATTGGCAGTCGTTGCCGAAACTGGTGCCAAAGAAGAACATCTAGCCAGCTGGGCGGGGCTTGACCTGGAAGAGGCGCATCGCATGCCAAGCTGCGAGGTGGAGCAGGCTTCCACGGCGAGGATACTTCAGAAGCGCTGCACGTCGCGCGTCTCTGCAAACCACTGGAAGACTGAACGGGGAGGAACGGCAGGTGGAGCAGGCAGTTTTAGCCTCCAAGGATGCACGCCATTAGTCTTTGGGAGCCACTCAACGACTTGAATGGGGGGAGCAGGGCCGGTAGGGTGATATACGCTCAACTCGAGCAGCATTAGGCTGGAAACGTGAGAGATGATTGGGGATGGGGTGAACGAGGGTGGGAACAGAACAGGTGTCAGTGGGAAGGGAATGAGGGAGAGAGAGAGGGGAGGTACACTATGATTAACACCCACAGCCTAGTGCATGGTTTCCCTGCCCACACCCTTGGTTCAGCCTAAGCACACCCTACCAGCCTCCCATTCAACTCACACAACTCCTCCATCCCACCCGCTCCTCACTCACCGAGAATGTCCCCTGACTCGACAGCAGGTGGCTTCCATACGTTGGCTCCCCCGTGGCTCACTTTCACTTCGTCTCACCTACCCCAATCACTTCCTTACCACGCAACCCCGTCACTCACCAACTATGTCCCCTGGTTTCACAGCAGGAGGCTTTCAGGTTGACTCCCCCGCTCCAGTGGCTCACTGGGTTGCCTTGCACGAACCAAAAACTAATTGGCAGCGGCTGTTGGGAATGTGGGGAGGCGAGGACAGATGTAGGGTGCAGAGCGGTGAATGTGGCTTCCACAGGTTGACTCCCCCGCTCCAGTGGCTCATCGGGTTGCTCTGCAGGAACCCGACCATCACTGGCAGGGGCTGCGCACGAGGGGAGAGAAGGGCACGGATGGATGCAGGGGTGCAAAGCGGTGAGGGTTGCTATGACAAGTTTACTCCCCCACTCCAATGGCTCACTTGGTTGCCCTACAGGAACCCGACCATCACTGGCAGGGGCTGCTTGGGTGTGGAATGGCAAGGACGGACGCAGGGATGCAAAGGGGTGACATGGAATGTTTCAGGGAGAAATCCCCCCTCCAGTGGCTCACTGGCAAGGGCTGTGGGGGAGGGAAGAGAGGGTGTGAGGGCAAGTACGGCATGAGAGGTATGTATTGGGGAAGAACATGCATGACAAGTGCATCAAGCAAGGTTAGCCGGGAGGAAGCAAATGGAAGAGTGGTATGTGGGAAGAGGATGCGAAGAAGGGTGCAGGAATTGCTTGTGGAAAGTAGCAGATTTGGTATATGGAATCAGTTTTTTAAGAGAATGTCATTAGGGTTGGGGTGTATATGCTATCAGTGGCGCGTCAAAATGCCAACTACGGAACCATAGCAGCTCCCACTTGCTCTCAAGGTGGTCAGCGTCGCTAACGTTATCTAGAGCCTGAATTCTTTCTGCCACTCTTCACCTCAATTGACGGTGTGCGTGAGCAGGACACGACAGACAGTGAGCCAGTTGTGGCGTGTGTGGTGAGTGCGCAGTGCGTGTGGCGAGTGTCTGATGTGTGTGGTGACTGCCTGGCGTGTGTGGTGAGTGCGTGATGTATGACAATTTCAGATTCAGAACACCAAGATTCTTTTCACGACCCCATACTAACTTTCAATGCCTTCAGCAAATGCATGGTAGCAGCAGATATATTTGCGATTACAGAAGAACCAAAGGAGCACCCAGTTCCGCTACCAACCATGCACTCACACCACACACGCCCACCTAACTCTTTCACCCACACACACCACCTAACCCTTCCACCCCCCCACACACACATACCTCTCCCAGCAGCATCACCAAGACAGAACTAAGCAACCAAGTTTGCAAACCATGCCACTTGCAGGCCACATTAGCAGCAACAGACAGAAGGGACCGCAGCAGCAGGCAGAAGCACCGACAGCAGTGGAGGCAACAGCAGCAGCACGAGCAGCTTATGGAGTGCCTTGTCTGCCGCTGCAGAACCCTACTGCACCGAGCTGCTACCAGCAGCAGGCACCATACCAGCTGCGCTGCTGCCCTGCCTGCCGCTGCCCAACTCCACTACGCCGTGCCTCTCACCCCTCCAATCTCCCCTCTCCCACTTAGATCATCGTTTTCGCAGTCTGGACGAACGAGCCACCGCCCGCCTACAGGGCACCCTTGGCGCCCTTGCCGCTGCGGATCGCGTTGACTACAGCCGTGAGCGCCTCCTTGCCGCCCTTCTTCACCACAGTCTTCACCAACCCTCCTGCCTTCTGCCCCGCCTCGCTCTTCGCCGCTTGTTTCGCCGCGTTCTTGATCTTCTTCCAGCTTAGCAGCACCCGCACCGCCTCGTCCAGCCCGTCCGTCGCCTCCCCCACCTCCTCCTCCTCGCCACCCACGTCCAGGTCACCGCTGCTCGCTTCCAGCAGCTTGCGGCCCCAACTCGTCGCGTCCACGCCTGCACTTCCACCAGCCACGTCACCCCGCAATGGCGCAGCCGCGGCATAGAGCGCAGGAAGAGAGACGAGGACCAACGCGAGGATGAACGCGGAGCAAAGAGTGGCCATGGCAACGAGCATTATAAGAGAGTGTGAAAGCAGTGTCGGATTCTAAGAGTAGCCCCGAGCGGTGATGCGGATCAGATTCGGGTGATTTTCGAGCAGTGGGAGAAGTAACTCAGTTGGTGGTGGCGAATGGTGGAACGGCGGCGATTTAATAGGAGACCATGGCAAACCACCTCTGCAGCTCTCTCCACCTCATCGCTTGCTGTGAGTCCCTTTACAATCCCTCGCCTCCTCCTCGTACTTCGCCGCAATACTTAAATCGCCGCCATTCCACCATTTGCCACCACCGACTGAGTTACTTCTCCCACTGCTCGAAAATCACCCAAATCTTATCCGCATCATCTCTCGGGGCTACTCTTAGAATCCAACACCGCTTTCACGCTCTCTTATAACGCTCGTTGCCATGGCCACTCGTTGCTCCGCATTCATCCTCGCGTTGGTCCTCGTCTCTCTCCCTGCGCTCTATGCCGCGGCTGCGCCACTGCGGGGTGACGTGGCTGGTGGAAGTGCAGGTGTGGACGCAGCGAGTTGGGGCCGCAAGCTCCTGGAAGCGAGCGGCGGTGACCTGGACGTGGGTGGCGCGGAGAAGAGGTGGGGGAGGCGACGGACGGGCTAGACGAGGCGGTGCGGGTGCTGCTGAGCTGGAAGAATATCAAGAACGCGGCGAATCAAGCGGCAAAGAGTAAGGCGGGGCAAAAGGCGGGAGGGTTGGTGAAGAATGTGGTGAAGAAGGGCGGCAAGGAGGCGCTCACGGCTGCAGTCAACGCGTTCCGCAGCGGCAAGGGCGCCAAGGGTGCCCTGCAGGCGGGCGCTGGCTCGTTCGTCAAGACCGCGAAAACGATGATTTAAGTGGGAGAGGGGAGGGGAAGAGGCACTGCGGAGTGGAGGTATGCAGCGGGAGACAACGCTGCTTCTACTGCTACTAGTGCCTCCTCTGCTGTTGCTGCGGTTGTTGATGTGGCTTACAGGTGGCACGGTGTGCAGAATTGGTTGCTGAATAATTCAGGCTTGGTGATGCTGGGAGAGGTATATGTGTGTGTGTGTGTGTGTGGGTGGAGGGATTAGGTGGTGCGTGTGAGTGAAAGGGTTAGGTGGGCTGGTAGTGGATCCGGGCGTGCCTTTGGCTGCTTGGTGATGCTGCGTGTGTGGGTGTGGGGGGCCGGGTGTGGGTTGTGATGCTGGCGTGGTCTGTGGCTTTTGTGATGCTGTAATTTCATATGCTTCTTCTACCGTAATTCTGCTGAAGCTAAGTGTTAGTTGTGGAAACGTTGTGTATGCTGTATTTGACACACAGCAGGAACTCACTAAACACACTAGGCATTAGCCTTGCACAAGCATTTGGATCGTCTCTCGAGATTCGACATGCGGTCGGTAGCTCTCGTACTACCTTATTGGTAATATCGTACTGAACGTAGGAACTATATTGAGATCAGAATGTGAAGAAATTTGATGCAGTCTTGTAGCAGTACGGACTTGTACCGAGTAGTTGTTGTAACGGGTCACTGTTTGCCGTACATTGCTAAAGCCCCCGACCCAGATTGTTCATGTTTTTAAAACATGACGGGGAGGGAGTTCTTCCAGTTGGGTTGTGGCGAGTGTCAGAAACTAACGAGCAGGGATGATTCCGTATCACCCCGGATAGAAGCGCAGGTGGGCTTATAATATAACAGTGATTTTAGGGGGGTACGCTTATAATTGAGTCAGATTTACAAGCGCATGCGCTTATAAAATGACAATTACAAAAATATGATTTAAAACCCAAGGTTAGCATGGTTTTTGAGAAAAATCGAATAATGGCTTTAACAGTGTTGGCGAAAGGCAAAAACCATTGCGAGACCCCAACCAGCTAACGAGCAATCCTAGAATTCGTCACTCTAACTGTGGGACAGGCTTCTCGAAGAATATGGGAAGAGAAACCTCGAGCGCCTGAAAATGGCACCCTGCAGGTAGAAATTGTGGGAGGCCCACTCTCGAGAAGGGGAATCCTGTAGCGATGCACAGCAGAAACGGTAGAGACCAGAGTGAGAATGCTCGCGACTTGGGGGCGTGGCATCGCAACCAATCAGGCCTCTAGAAATGCATCTGTGCAATGGAAGAGCATTTTGCACACCTAATGAAATGGTGGAGAAAAATGAAAACGCGAGGTGTTGCGCTCGGTGGAAATGGATTGGCGCTCTCACATGTGGTAGGTAAGAACATGAGAAGCGAAGCAAAGGCGACACGATAGCTCCAGGGAGTGCGCATTACGTGCCTGAGGGTGTTCAGGAGGAAGTGGTAGATCCCTCGACTACCAGCAAATGCTTGGCCTTCGGCAGGTGATACAACAATAAAGCTAAGTGTGCACGTGACCCTGCGGCGTAGGAGAAGCCAACATGATTCCCGTCCTAGTGCAGCGTTTAGGATGAACGTTGGGAGTACAGAAAGCAGGAGGTAACCGGTTGTTGAGCGCGAGAGAGATGGATCAGTGGGAGGCGTACTCACATGGCAGGAAATTGTCGAGCGAAAAGGTATACTCTCTACGATTTCATAGAAAACATCGGTAGAACTGGAGTATTTGTGAGGTAATCATCCAGTGGAACTAACAAACGCAATTCAATGCCCCAACGCCTACGGCTACAACGATAGTTCGGGGGACAAAAGCCACAATACGCATGCGATTGCGGTAGAAGGGAGGTAACGGCGTGCGCTAGGGAGAAGACAACGAGAGGAGCACAGGGTTATAGGGCAACGAGTTGCACTACGAGCGTGACGCAACTAGAATCGGTAAGAGGGTGGCAAATAGATGAGTACTATAGTCACCAAGCCAAGCGTCTTCAGTGACACGACGTGTCTTGAGATTCTGCAGCACAAACAGCTCTCGTTGCAATACCTCGCGTGTTTCACTGCGGAGTTTGCAGTCAACCGATTTGGCACGGACAAAACTCAGACAGATACATGTGCAGCAGCAAGCATAACGGAAGCCGTCGCTGCTGTTGTTATCTCACTGAAATCATGCGACTGATTACTGCGTATAGGAAACTGCAAGTCGCGAGTGCTGTCACAGTTACATTATTTAAAGCCTCTACAGTCACGGCATGCCCAGGCATTTTCTGCCTCCGTCACATGGGGTGTCGGCACTGCATCAACTGTCACGGCAATTGATGTCACCTGCGAATCATCACACAACATGTGGTCAATGCTGCTCATTGCAGAGCATGTTGGGATAAACTGTTGCACATGTCATAGCCCTGTCGATAGGCTCCCGTACATGCTCGTGGAGCATGCACGCACTTCTACTCATTTCGCAACTCGTGTTTACTTCTCATATCAATACATGTGGTCATTCGTCACAAAACGTAGGGAGGGGGATGGGGGGAAGCAGAGAAGGAAGTGGGGGGAAGCAGGGAAGGGGACATGGGGAAGCAGGGAAGGGGATGGAGGGGACCAGGGAAAGGGACATGGGGAAGCAGGGAGGGGGATGGGGGGAAGCAAGGAAGGGCGTATGGGGAAGCAACGACAGGGACATGGAAAAGCAAGGAAGGGGACATGGAGAAGCAAGGAAGGGGACATGGGGAAGCGACATGGGGAAGCAGGTTCAGGAGATGGGGGGAAGCAGGGGAGGGGAGGGGGGGAAGAAGAGAAGGGGATGGGGGGCAGCAGGGAAAGGGACATGGGGAAGCAGGGAAAGGGACACGGGGAAGCAAGGAAAGGGGATGGGGAAGAAGGGAAGGGGATGGGGGGAAGCAGGGAAAGGGACATGGGGAAGCAGGGAATGGGATGGGGGGAAGCAGGGAAGGAGATGGGGGAAAGCAAGGAAAGGGACATGGGGAAGCAGGGAAGGAGATGGGGGGAAGCAGGGAAGGGGACACGGGGAAGCAGGGAAGGGGATGGGGGGAAGCAGGGAAAGGGACATGGGGAAGCAGGGAGGGGGATGGGTTTTAGCAGAGAAGGGCGTGGGGGGAAACAGGGAAGGGGACATGGGGAAGGCAGGAAGGGGATGGGGGGAAGCAGGGAAGGGGATGGGGGGAAGCAGGGAAGGGGATGGGGGAAAGCAGGGAAAGGGATACGGGGAAGCAGGGAAGGGGGGGAAGCAGGGAAGGGGACACGGGGAAGCAGGGAAGGGGACATGGGGGGTAATAGGGAAGGGGATGGGGGGAATCAGGAAAAGGGACATGGGGACGCAGGGAGGGGGATGGGGGGAAGCAGAGAAGGGAGTGGGGGGAAGCAGGGACGGGGACATGGAAAAGCAGGGAAGGGGACATGGAGAAGCAGGGAAGGGGACATGGGGAAGCGACATGGGGAAGCAGGGAAGGGGAGGGGGGGAAGAAGAGAAGGGGATGGGGGGCAGCAAGGAAAGGGACATGGGGAAGCAGGGAGGGGGATGGGTTTTAGCATAGAAGGGCGTGGGGGGAAGCAGGGAAGGGGACATAGGGAAGGCGGGAAGGGGATGGGGGGAAGCAGGGAAGGGGATGGGGGGAAGCAGGGAAGGGGATGGGGGAAAGCAGGGAAAGGGACATGGGGAAGCAGGGAAGGGGGGGAAGCAGGGAAGGGGACACGGGGAAGCAGGGAAGGGGACATGGGGGGTAATAGGGAAGGGGATGGGGGGAATCAGGAAAAGGGACATGGGGACGCAGGGAGGGGGATGGGGGGAAGCAGAGAAGGGAGTGGGGGGAAGCAGGGACGGGGACATGGAAAAGCAGGGAAGGGGACATGGAGAAGCAGGGAAGGGGACATGGGGAAGCGACATGGGGAAGCAGGGAAGGGGAGGGGGGGAAGAAGAGAAGGGGATGGGGGGCAGCAAGGAAAGGGACATGGGGAAGCAGGGAGGGGGATGGGTTTTAGCATAGAAGGGCGTGGGGGGAAGCAGGGAAGGGGACATAGGGAAGGCGGGAAGGGGATGGGGGGAAGCAGGGAAGGGGATGGGGGGAATCAGGGAAGGGGATGGGGGAAAGCAGGGAAAGGGACACGGGGAAGCAGGGAAGGGGGGAAGCAGGGAAGGGGGGGAAGCAAGGAAGGGGATGGTGGAAAGCAGGGAAAGGGACACGGGGAAGCAGGGAAGGGGATGGGGGGTAGTAGGCAAGGGGATGGGGGGAAGCAGGGAAAGGGACAATGGGAAGCACGGAAGGGGACATGGGGGGTAATAGGGAAGGGGATGAGGGGAATCAAGAAAAGGGACATGGGGACGTGGGGAGGGGGATGGGGGGAAGCAGAGAAGGGAGTGGGGGGAAGCAGGGAAGGGGACATGGGGAAGCAAGGAAGGGGATGGGGGGTAATAGGGAAGGGGATGGGGGGAAGTAGGGAAAGGGACACGGGGAAGCACGGAAGGGGACACGGGGAAGCAGGGAAGGGGATGGCGTGAATCAGGAAAAGGGACATGGGGACGCCGGGAGGGGGATGGGGGGAAGCAGGGAAGGGGACACGGGGAAGCAGGGAAGGGGACATGGGGAAGCAGGGAAGGGGACATGGGGAAGGTGGGAAGGGGATGGGGGGAAGCAGGGAAGGGGATGGGGGAAAGCAGGGAAAGGGACAAGGGGAAGCAGGGAAGGGGGGGAAGCAGGAAAGGGGGGGAAGCAGGGAAGGGGATGGTGGGAAGCAGGGAAAGGGACACGGGGAAGCAGTGAAGGGGATGGGGGGTAGTAGGCAAGGGGATGGGGGGAAGCAGGGAAAGGGACAATGGGAAGCACGGAAGGGGACATGGGGGGTAATAGGGAAGGGGATGGGGGGAATCAGGAAAAGGGACATGGGGACGCAGGAAGGGGGATGGGGGGAAGTAGAGAAGGGAGTGGGGGGAAGCAAGGAAGGGGACATGGGGAAGCAGGGAAGGGGATGGGGGGTAATAGGGAAGGGGATGGGGGGAAGCAGGGAAAGGGACACGGGGAAGCACGGAAGGGGACACGGGGAAGCAGGGAAGGGGATGGGGTGAATCAGGAAAAGGGACATGGGGATGCGGGAGGGGGATGGGGGGAAGCAGGGAAGGGGACACGGAGAACAGCAGCACGAAGGTAGTCAACAGCAGCATAAGAAGCGTAGGAGGGGGCAAGGGTGGAGGGGGAACACCCCTCAAAGAAGGGAGTGCGCATGGAGTGCCACGAGCAGCACCTACAGTGACTATGCTAGTCTCAACTGCAAGGAGGTGCTTCTCAAGCAGGTCAACAGTGAGGTCTATGGGGTCCATGGCGAGAAAGAGGTCCCTGACTGTGCTAAGAGGGTTACGGAGGCGGGTGACAATGAAGTAGAGAGCGATGTACATGGAGGGCGGGTTCTTGTCTAAGAACTCGGCTGGGAGGGTGGTGCAGTAGCGAGCGTCACTAGCGCGAAGGTGGGTGATGAGGTGCTAAACTGTGGCAAAGGAGGACAGCTCGAGAAACAGGTAGGGTAGTATAAGGCGGCCGAGAGCAGCAGTGGCAGGGGAAGAGTAGAGAGTGATTACAGCGTCGTACAGGTGGTTGCGAACGGCCTTGGCAGTCTTGTGCTGGCCAATGTGAGCACGTTCGGCTAAAGGCAGGTGGTTACGAACGGCTAGGCGAGCAGCAGCATGACAGGTAAGCCATTGTGAACGAGTGAGACTGTCAGCTGTGTCTGGAGGGGCGACTGAGGAACCAGATGTGTGGTCAAACAGGGATACGTCGTCTTTAGCATCGCTCATCAGGTACAGCTGTAGGTTATCGAGCCATGTTTCAAACTAGATCGGGCGGCCCTCAGGATCGAACGAGAGTACGCTGAGAGTAGCCATAGCTGGGTGGCGCAAGACTAGCAGGGCAGAGTGGCGTGCGGGCAGGGCAGGGCGGCGCACGGGCAACAGGGCAGCGCGCGGCCAGCAGGGCAGCGCGCGGCCAGCAGGGCAGCGTGCGGGCTGCAGAAGGCGGTGCGCAGGCAGGCAGGGGTGGCGCGTGGGCAGGCAGGGGCGGTGCGCGACCAGCAGTACGGCGCGCGGGCTGCAATGGCCAGCGCGCGGGCAGGAAGGGCCGGCGCGCGGGCAGGAAGGGGAGGCGCGCAGCCAGCAGGGCAGCGCACAGGGCTGCAAAGGGCGACGCGCGGGCTGCAAAGGGCAGCGCGCTGCCAGCAGGGCGGCGTGCGGGCTGCAGACGGGCGGCGCGTAGGTGGTGTGAGGCAGGGCAGGGCGTGCGCGGGGCGGCGCAACGCAGGGCAGGGCAGGGCAAGCGCTGGCGGCACGACGCAGGGCAGGGCGCGCTCGGGGCAGCGCGACGCAGGGCAGGGCGCGCACGGGCAGCGTGACGCAAGGCAGGGCTTCTCCCATAGCAGCTGCATGGTGGTGACAAAGTCGTGAGCGGCTTGGACGTGTGCCGGTGTGGTTGGTTGCTGTGGTCTAAGTGGTTCCCATTCTTAACACAGGAAGAAATGAGTTTTCCTTGTGGCCGCATGTGACGCATTGTTGTAAGCAAACTTAGGGTTGATAACTGTGTGTCCCAGTAGCTGATGTCGTCTTTGCAAGCTGTGCGCAGTAACTGTTCAACCACCTGATTGAGTCGCTCAGTGTGTCCGTCAATCTAAGGGTGGTATGCTGAAGACATCGCAAGCTTAGTCCCCAACAGTCCCATGACCTTCTTCCAAAACTTACTCATGAATTTGGGGTCTCAGTCTGAGATGAGTATAGTGGGGATGCCGTGGATGGTGATGATGTGGTCGAAGAAGAGGTGAGCAGTTCCTTCAGCTGTAGCTGTGGCATTGGTTGGAATGAAGTGACCCATTTTGGAGAACTTGTCAATCACCGCGAGAATAGCGTCATGCCCTCGTGAGGTCGAAGGAAGTCCCGTGATGAAGTCAAGGCTAACGACATGCCATGGCTGCTCCGGTACGGATAGAGGCTGAAGAAACCCTGCTTTTTTCTGCTTACTACTCTTCGTCCGCTGGCACGTGTCGCATGAGGTGACGAGCTGCTGCACGTCTGCTGCCAGTAGTAATAATTCGCAATCCCTGCTAATGTCTTGTTGCTCCCGAAATGTCCCGCGTATCCCACGTCGTGGAACTCCTCTAGTAGGATCTGCCGTAGCGGGGCATAGCTCAGTACCCAAATCTTTCCCGTGCCCTTCCTTACCGCTAAGTCTTTCTCCCACTGTGATAGCTTCTGTTTCTCTGCCGTAGTAATCTCTGCGTCCACGGAGTACCCATGTTGTAATAGACCCTTGAGTAGAGGGCTCATACCATCGAGCTGAATGCCTGCTACATGTCCGGGGCGGCTCAACGCGTCTGCCTTGTTGTGTAGCCCGGGCTTGTAGACAACGTCATAGTAGAAGTGAGATTCAAGGAAGTCCACCCACCGCACCTGTCGTCGTAAGAGCGTCGGTTGCGACTTCAGGTATTTGAGACTGCAGTGGTCAGTATAGACTGTTGTCTTGGCTCCCTCTAGGTAACACCTCTACGTCTTGGAGGCTATGACAATCGCTAAGTCTTCCTTTTCATGGATGGGGTAGTTCACTCCTACTCCGTGTAGCTTCATACTGAGGTAGGCGATGGGCTGTAGACCGCATCTGTGATCCTGCATCAGTACGGCTCCGCCTGCCTAGTCACTAGCATCTGCTTCCACCACGTAGTCCTTGTCTGGGTCCGGTAGGATGAGTATTGGCGCTGTAGTCAGTGCTGTCTATAGCTGCTCCATGGCTTGCTGATGAGGAGTATCCGATTTGTAGGGCGTATCCTTTTTCAATAGGTTGGTCAGTGGCGCTGCTATCTTGGTGTACTGTGGCATGAACCTGTTGTAGTAGTTGGTGAAGCCTAGGAATAGCTGCAACTCCTTTACGGATTCCGGCACTTTCCACGTCTTGACGGCTTCGATCTTCCGCGGGTCTACGTGTACACCCTCGGCACTCACCATGTGCCCGAGAAATTGTACATTCTTCAGGGCAAAGTCGCTCTTCGACAACTTCACATAGAACTTGTTTTTTCTGTAGGATCTTGAAGACTTTCCGCAGATGCTCCACGTGCTCCTTCAAGTTTTTGGAGTATATGAGAATGTCGTCCACGTACACCACCACACACTCGTCTAGCAGGGGTCGTAGGACCGCCTGGAACATCGCTGGTGCATTGCAGAGTTCGAACGGCATCACCAAGTAATCATAGGAGCCGTATCTGGTACAGAACGCCGTCTTGTGGACCGGATTGTTTGCGAACTTGATCTGCCAGTAACCCGACCGAAGGTCCACCGTCGAGAATGCAGCTGCTCCACGTAGCTGGTCTAGAAGATCGAGTATGCGCATTATGGGGTATTTGTTTTTTTACTGTCTGTTTGTTTAGTGCGCGGTAGTCGATGCACATCCGTAAACTGCCGACTTGGTTTTGGAGTGAAGAGAACTGGTGCACCGTAGCGAGAGGTGGATGGGGGGATCAGTTGTCTGTCCAGTAGATACTCGATCTGCTTCTTCATGTCTGTCAGTTCTGTCGGACTCAGACGGTCTGGTCCACGTGAGACAAGTTTCGCACCTGGTTCCTCCACGATCCTGTGCTCGTGGGTGCGCGCTGGAGGTACTCCTGCAGGTAGGTCGTCTGGCATGATGTCTTTGTACTGCTCCAACACCTCCTTTACTGATGCAGGTAGCTCGGTGTTTGGCTCCTACTCTGCTGCTCCTCTCCAGTGCTAAGTAGCCCGTGTTACTCTGGTTCATCGTCCGTTCCGTGTAAGTGTTGTTTCTGGAACGTCACCTGTATCTGTCCAGCTTCGCAACTCCACTCGTTTCCCGTTGTTGTAGATGCACGCCTTCTTGTTGACCCAATCGATCTCGGGGTTGAACCGCTTCAGGAAATCTTGCCCGAAGATGAAATCTAAACCCTTGATGTTCGTGATCGGCAACGTTGGCTTCCACCTCAGCGCCCCTACGTGCAGCTGTAGTGATGCTGAGCCTGGGGGTGCTGAGCCTGAGCGTGCTGCGCCGGGAGGTACTTTGTATTCTGGAGGTCCTCCGGGTGTCTTGTCACGGTGGGAGACACTCTCTCCACCGCAGCTGCGCGAGTGGTTTGCTTGGCGCTGGAGACTTCAGAGTAACACTGCTGGAGCCGGCGGTGCTGCTGGTGCTAAAGGTGCTGCTGGAGCTGGTGCTGCTGGAGGTGCTGGCGCCGCTGGTCTAGGAGGTGCTCGTACTGGAGGTACTGGAGCTGCTGGAGTTGGAGGTGCTGGTGGAGCTGGTGCTACTGGAGGTGCTGGAGCCGCTAGTCTTGGAGGTGCTCGTACTGGAGGTGCTGGAGCTGCTGGAGCTGGAGTTGTAGGAGGTGCTGGAGCCACTAGTCCTGGAGGTGCTCATATAGGAGGTACTGGAGCTGCTGGAGCTGGGGGTGCTGCTGGAGATGGAACTGCTGGAGGTACTGGAGCTGCTGGAGACGCTGGTCCTGGAGGTGCTCGTACTGGAGGTACTGGAGCTGCTGGCGCTTGGAGTGCTACTGGAGCTAGAGCCAGAGGTGCTGCTGGAGTTGGAGCTGCTGGAGCTGGCAGTGCTACAGGAGTTAGAGCTCGAGCCACTGGAGCTGGAGCTGGTGGAGGTGCTGGCCCTGGGGGTGCTAATGCTGTCGGTGCTGGTGCTGGAGGTACTGTGCGACCGCGACCGTACTTCGTTCCTCTGCTTCAGCAGATTCTTGGTCTCCCTCCTACTGGCCTTACTCCTCCCTTACTATGTCCACCGCCTGACCAGTCCCAGCCGCAGTTACAGCCAGCCTCTCCGAAACCTGCTCCGTCTCCTTAGATTGAGCAGCCCGAAGTCTTACAGAGGGTCGTGAGCTTGCGTCTCATCCTGCGTCGCCTGTCCGCGCTGTTCGCACTGGTCCTCGTATTCCGCGCCAGCGTCCTCCTCCTGCCCCCAGCACACACCAGATGACACTTCGTCCTTCCTCTGTTCCACTCCGTGTCCCTCTGCCTTCATCTCCTGTGTCCTCCCTTGCTGACGGTCTGGACCCGGAGTCTGACTCCCTTCGTGCTGCCAGTCCTACTGTCACGCGCCTACTGGCCACAGTTATCACTGACCCTTCGTTTGAGTCTACTGCTGCGTCTGCTCTTGTTGCTGAGCTGGTTGACTTTGCTGCTCGCTGTCGACTTGACTACGCCGTTAGTCTTGTTGCTGAGTCTGAGTATGTCTGTCCTCCGTCCATCGGGGGTGAGTGTGCTCTTGGCATGGACGTCCTTGAGGACAGACAGGAGGACTTTGAGTGCTTTGCAACTGCTGTACCTCATCTCGTGTCCATGCTGATTACACCTGAGGGAGACCCGGATGCACCAGACATCCCGACCCCGCGCTCTTACGCAGAGCGATTGAGGGTCCCTACTCCTCTCAGTGGCAGTCAGCAATGGATGCAGAGATGGCATCTTGGAACTCCACAGGCACTTACGTTGACGAGGTTCCCCCACCTGGGGCGAACATCGTCAGTGACATGTGGATTTTCAGGGTGAAGCGGCCACCGAGTTCTCTGCCTGTCTTCAAGGCGCGTTACGTTGCATGAGGCTTTAGTCACCCGATGACCACTCTTCGGGTGCTGCTGCACGTCGCCGCTCAGCGTGACTACGAGCTTCACTCTCTTGACTTCAGCACTGCTTTCCTACAGGGCAGCCTGCAGGAGGAGATCTACTGAGACTATACTTGCGGCTCTTGGGTTTGCTCCTTCTACTGCTGACCCTTCGCTGTTTCTACGCACCGACACTTCGCTGCCGCTGTTCTACATCCTCGTATATATCGACGACTTGGTCTTTGTCATTGCTGACACCGCTGGACTGGCCCAAGTGAATTCGAAGCTGTAGAAGAGACGCACGTGCACAGACCTGGGTGAGCTCCGTAGGTATCTTGGCTTGCAGATCACCCAGGACAGAGCACAGCGCACTATTACCTTGACTCAGTCTCACATGGTGCAGCAGGTCCTTCAGCGCTTCGACTTCCAGTTCTCCTCGTCCTCTGCCTACCGTTCACTCGCTTTCAGCTCTGCCTTCGGATGAGTCCGTAGAGCCGAGTGGCTTGTATCCAGAGCTTGTGGGTTGCCTCATGTACCTGATGACCTGCAGTCGACCTGACCTTGCTTACCCTCTTAGCATCCAGGCACACTACGTTGCGCCCGAGAGCACTGGAAGGCCGCTAAGAGGGTGATGCACTACTTGTGCAGTACGTCGGGCATGGGGCTCGTGCTTGAAGGATGGGCTCGAGTTGTCCTCACTTGTCACGCAGACGCTTCTTGTGTTGACGACTTGGCTACGCAGCGATCGTCACAGGGTTACACCTTCAGGCTTGGCTCCGATTCTGTTTTATGTCGGTCTACCCGCTTGTCTTCTGTTCTCTGCTCCA